GAGAAGAAGGGGCTGGCGGTCCTCGGCGGGAGAGGCGCCTGCTGCGCGTGTGGGTGTGTGTGTGCCAGACCGTGCGCGCCGGGCGGCTGCCTCCAACAGGCTCCCTGCCAGCGGCTGTCTGCTGCTCCCCTGAGCCTTGGACAGTCGGGGGATCCCAGGCCAAGGAGTCGGCCTCCTGAACCAGCCTGGCTGCAGACGCCCTTGAGGAAGCAGCAGGCAGGCAGGGCAAGGTGACCCCGGGTGGGCAGAGCCCCGGGCAGTGGAGCCCCGCGCTGGGCTACCGCTGTGTGGTCAGCACTCGGCACTCTCCCTCTGGCCTCGGTTTCCTGTCTGTAAAATGGAAAGAGTCCTTCCGGTCCTGCCTGACGGGCTGGCCGCTGTGGAGGGGACATGGTAGGATGAGGTCGGTGCTATGCAGTCGTGAATGACAGAGTGGCCCTGAGAACCCTGCCTGCAGAGGCTGTGCCCAGCTGGGGAGACAGGGTCTGCCAGCTCGCCCCTCCCGACCATGCCTGCCCCCCACTCCCCCTCTTTGGGAGCTGGGACATTCCAGTCTCATTCCTGGGGCAGCTGCAGGCACACTCTGTCAGGGCTGGTCCTCCAGCAGGTGCCGGACCCTCCCGGGGCCAAGGCCTGGGAGCTGCTGACTGTTCCCACCCAGGAGGAGGCACAGTGGGGTTGGACAGTCCCAGGACTGGAGAGCCTGTACATGTTCTCTGCGGCTGAACATGGCCTTGGGCTCACGCTTCCTCCTCCTGGGCCTTGGCGTCCTCTGACATCTCTGTGTGTGTGTTTCAGGGCAGCAGTGGTGCCCAGGGCTGGCCCTGGCAGCCTCCTTGTGTGTCCTTTCTGGTTGGTGGCCAGGGCAGCTTCATTCCCTGTCTCCACCTGACCCAGCCACGAGAAGTGCTTCTGTGTGTTTGGGGCTAATCTGGGGTGGGGCAGAGGGACAGGAGTGAGGGCACTGCTGGGCGGGCGGATGACAGTGGGTTTTCAGCTCAGCAGAGCTCTGGGCCCTGGGACAGGCACCCTGCTGCAAGCACCGAAGCCCAGCACCTGGCCCTGGAGCAGCCCCTGCTCTCTGCCCGCTATCTCTGTTCTGGAGTCCCAGGGAGGTTGCCTGGTGCTTGCTTTCCCTGTCTCCTCCTCCCCATGTCCTCTGCACCCTGGCCTGCACGGCTGCCTTGGCCTGAGCTTAAATTGCAGAGATTCTGAGCCTCAGAAGGAAGGGCTGTGTGTGTAGGGGAGGGGCCCTTTCCGAAAAGGGATCACCTGCCTCAGACTGAGGCCTGGGCTGTGAAGGCCCAGCCCACTGGGGAATGGACAGCACTTGGGATGGCAAGGGTGACCTTGCACCTGGCTGTGCAGACTGCTGTCAGGCAGGACATCCTCGCTGTGTCCTCTAAAATGGGCTTCCCTGTGTACTGGGTGGGGTGTACACATGACAGTGTCTTCTGTGTGTGGTTGTATACAGTGCCATGGCCCACGAGCCGTACCAGTTCCTGTGGATTGAGACACGTGTGGGAAAGGAAGAGAATCACAGATCGTCTCTTCTGAGACCGGAAGTGAGCGTCTGCCCAGGGCAAGGAGAGGAGGTGTGTGTTTGGGGTGAGGTGGTTGTACCTGGCATCGCTGCCAGCTTCTCCACCCCTGGCCACTCAGGGCTTAACAGTTTGCAAGCCCTTTCACTTCCCTTGTCCCTCCGACTTTCACAGTGGACTTACAGAAAGGCAGGACAAGGGAGGAAACTGAGGCAGGGCAGAGGGAAGTGCGTTCGTGCCCGAGGAGGGGGCTGGGGTCTCCGCTGTTCCCTCTCAGAGAAGCAGTGGTAAACAGGGCTGTCTCCCTGAGGGCCTGTTGCAGCAGGGCGCGTCTGGTGGGCACGCAGGGTGACTCCATCCAGCGTCTCTGTTGTGGGTGACATCAGAACTCCCAGGAGACCTTCGGCAGCCGTGTGTCGGGATCAGGGACAGCCTCGCTTGCCTAGCACTGCGACCTTGGGCAAGCCACTTCACCTTCCCCAGCCCTGGGCCACCTGTCAAAGGGGAAGTAACTGTCCCAGGTGCCTGTGACACCTCACCTGGGTGCATCCCCAAGCCTGTGTGGCCTGTGATGACCCCTGAAGGGCTTCACCCTGCTCACATGGGGCCGGGCTGCCTTTGCCAAATCAGACGTGCCCCCTCCTGGGGCTCAAGGCTGCACAGAAAAGGCCAGGATTGTATTTTTGCCCTGGGTACCCTGGTTGCGGCTGAGGGCCATAGTGTGGGGAGGGGACAGGGCCCCCCCCCCCGCAGCTTTGTCTCTGACACACACAAAACCTGGAAACGGCTGAGGAAGATGGAGCCTCCTAAGGACCATTGTCTGGGGCGGAGGGGAGTGGTTGTCCCGGAAGTGTGTTGGGGTGCTGCCTGCCTGCTGGGCATCTGTTCTGTCCCGGGAGCAGCTGGGTGTGGGCGTGGGTGGGAGGCCGGAAAGGTGGTGTCGCTGCAGGTCATTTGTACCACTGTGTGGGGTACTGGACTGGGCACCCTCCAGAGTGTTGGGCCCAGCACAGATGGGGGACAGGGTGACAGCGCAGCTCCTGTTGATCCTGGCTGCGGGCCAGGCCAGGGGCTCTCTGGTTATCTGTTTCCAGCATCCCAGAGTGAGAAGAGCTGTCTTTGCGTTATCCTAGAGGAAACTGGCTGTGAGGCTGCAGGCGTGGCCAAGGTCACACATCCACCAGCTCCTCTGGGCAGGCTGTGCCTGGGGTGCAACAGCAGCGAGGCGGCAAGCAAGGGCTGGCAGGCATCTGGCTGCCCCTTCCCTCTGCCTCCGTCACTGCTCACACCTGAACACCTGTCCCGGAAACTGGCCATTGTTCCCCCGTGTCCTTCCTGTTTGTGAGGCCGTCCTTCCTCCCCAGGCCCTTCCTGTTTGTATCCCTCCCCAGCAGCCCCAGATCTACCCAACCAGATGTTTCCCTGGGGAGCTCTGACCCTTTGCCGGACAGGGGTTGAGTGGGTTATCCGGTTATCCCAGGGAAGACAGAGGCATAGAGTCCCTCTGGCCCCCATTTATTGAGCTTCCTCTCCACCTGCACATTTAGTGGAGCCTGGCAGGAGAGTGACCAGGGCCAGCGTCAGGCAGAGCCAACTCTGTCCTCAGTCTCAGCTGGCTTGGTTCTGGGAGCCAGGCCTGATTCCGGGAGGCGGGCCCCTGTCCTGCCGGTTGAGGGTGCCCTCTCCACCAGGTTGCACAAGCCCCGAGCTGTGGTGTCCCGACCAATACTCTGTTTCCTTCTCCTTAGACAGATGTCGGGTGGGTGGGTGGTGGCTTTGAAGCCCGTATCCACTTTCCTTGCCAGGCTAAGGATTCTGTCCTGGGATTCTTTCTGATACCCACCCACATCTCCCTTTCTCAGACCTAGACATGTGAGAAAGCCAGCAGATGGCAAGTGCCTGGTTTAGGGACTCAGGAGCTGGGCAGCAAGTACTTGCCAGCCCCTAATGGTCTTCTTGATTCCCAGAGACAGCAACCTGTGCCCTGCTGAAACTTCATGGCCACAACCCTGGGTCCTGCTGGCATTGCCATGGGCAGCGTGGGCAGCCTGCTGGAGCGGCAGGACTTCTCCCCCGAAGAGCTCCAGGCGGCACTTGCCGGGTCCCGAGGCGCCCGCCAGCCGGATGGGCTTCTCCGGAAAGGGTTAGGCCAGCGTGAGCTTCTCAGCTATCTGCACCTCCCCAAGAAGGACGGTAAGAGCACCAAGCGGGTGCCTCGGAACGAGGCCGCCAACTACACCACCCTCTACTCCAGGGAGCACCCTCGGGCTGGGGACTTCAGCAAGACGTCGCTGCCGGAGCGGGGCCGCTTCGACAAGGTGTGCCTCTGCCGAGCTAGCCTCTGTGCCTGAGGGGAGGAGCCCTGACATGGGGATGGGCTGAGTTCAGGGCAGGCCCGCTGGCGCCCCATGTTCTCAGAGACCCCTCCCAGGGCTGGGGAGCTCAGGAGGCCCAGAGCAGCCCGCCCAGCCTCTCACGGAGCTGTCTCTCCCGGCAGTGTCGCATTCGCCCATCAGTGTTCAAGCCTGCAGGGGGCACCGGGAAAGGCTTCCTGTCCATGCAGAGCCTGGCGGCCCACAAGGGCCAGAAGCTGTGGCGCAGCAACGGCAGCCTGCACACGCTGGCCTGCCACCCACCCCTGAGCCCCGGGCCCCGGGCCAGCCACCAGCCA